ACCAAATCAGAAGTCGTAGAGCTAGAATACAGCCTGTTGGCAACCATAAACTTATTTTATGAAACAACAAAATATTTCTATTTCTTCTGCAACTTGATTAGCAAATACTATCAACAATAATAGAAATTGAAAACAGAATTACCTGTCCCACAATTTAAATTTTGAATTTTATACTTCTCTGAGCTTCCTACTTGACCATAATTTTAAAGATGCTTTTATGAATGTCTAGAATATCCAAACCAGAATATTCTCATCTGAAAACTATGTGGATAACCCAAGAATACCTGTCATAAATTCATGACTCTCAGTATTTCTTTGTATGGTTGCTAAACTGTATTTCTCACATACAACAAAACGCAACATGCAACATTAAAAAGCAAGTAAAAAACCACCAATATAGAAAAATATAAAGACCATTTCATCTTCAGGGTTTCTATTTTGCAGAGAATTTTGAAAGCTTGCTTAACTATGATATAGAAACTACATGACATTTGATCTCAATACAAATTTATGTGCAGTGGCTACCTCATCAAATACATTTGAAGGTTATTTAGCATTTCGCACTTGTGAACTCTCAGAAGTTAAGAGTTCTAAGGCAGGCAATCACTCTTAGTTCTTGTCGTAGGAATAAAGATTTCAAACTGTGAGAAATTCACAAGCTATAGGAGTTCACATCTTATAATCCTATATTAGCAATGGATTCTAAAGCACTCTATTGCTTGACTTTGAGTTTAGCTGCTAAATTACTCAGTGTGAACACAAAAGGCTATGGATGTGAAAAGGTTTGTTTCTGAATTTTTCTACAGTGAAACATACAGTAACTTATGCACTTCAGTGAATTCAAAGCATCAAAACATTAATATTCTAGGAAATTAATTTTTTAACACACTGGATGAAATAATGAAAATACCTTGCTAAACAGAACTTCAGACTCTGAGGACAGGTTCTGTAACAAGACTTATTCATACTGACTTTTCATTAGTCAATTAATTTCCCTTGGTACATGCTGACTAATATGGTTGTTAGTTCTTACCAGTAATATAGCTTCAAGTTCAAAATAAAGGATGGCTTTAATAAAAGTGTTACACTTTCTCCCAGTGAAAATAACAATCCACTCAAAAAAATATTACTTAAGTGACACAAAATTGGGAAGAACAGGAACAGAATTACAAACATCATTTAGTATTTTTGGGGAAAGATGGTTTTGAATTTACCAATGATTCCTAGGAATTAAAGAAAAAGAAGAAAATACAATAGGAAAATATTTCAAATTCTAATTTAGGGCTTTTGCAAGTATAAAACAGTGATGTTAAAGTCCTTAGGTCACACTCTGTGGCAGAAAAAGTTGTTTTTTTTTTTTTTAAATTAGGCACTAAACCGCACAGATTATCAACATACAGAAAAACAGTCCTCACTTGTTTTTATAATATTCCTTGAATTTGGAAAGTGTAACAACAAGTTAAATCCCTCTTCAGCCCACCCTCCTTGATCAATGCTAAATTTTAAAAATGGAAGTAATTTTCCCTTTTCAAATGCACCATATGATTTCATAGGCACAATGCGTTTTCAAGAAGCAGTAGAAAGACTTGAAAAATAACCTTCCATCAACTATTTTAATCATACTCGTAAGTATCTCAATATTTATTACCTGACAGACAGTGTAAGATAAGAGTATGTTCAATCAGTAGAAAATATCAATCAAGTAAAACTTGTCACACATCATCTGAATAAAATTCATAATTGGATAAGTTTTTAGTGTCATTTTCTTGAAATCCTCTTCCAGAATAATGTATTCCTATTTTTGTGGTTGAGAAAAGAGAATTTTCTTCATGCACTGTTTGCACTAGAAGATTCACCAATAAAATGCAAAGAATCTGCGTTCTTTAGTGGACTACAATTTCTTTAAATTACTCCGAAAAAACTCTGTACACAATCAGATTTTTTGTAAATTTGTGTCTTTACCAAAATATAGCTTTACAGAAGACTGTGAAGACAATTCAGTGTCCCATCAAACTGGGTGAATGAGCATCATTTTTGGATAAATGCAGTTCAGAGTTATTAAATCCAAGACAATGAATAGTTGGAATAATGAAAGAGCCACACTGGTGGATGTGTACCACAGAGGAAAAACCATCAAGAACAAAATCACTGTTTAATGTTCAGTAGTCATCAAAGAGACAAAGCAGACACTAGAATGTAGGAAAAGTGAACAAACAATAATAGCATTATTGTATTACATTACTGTAACTAAGTAAAATATGATTAAAAGAAAATTGACTGTTTAAAAACAGATTAAAGAGGCAGCATGAGAAAAAGTACAAAACAAATAGAATACAAACAATGTAAAAAAGGGAGCCCAATCTTATTGCCTCATCAGTCAAGAAAAAAGATATAATTTATGGAAAGTAAAGGCAAAATTAAACTTTCTGAAAAAGAGAGAAACCAGGTAGGTTTAATTTGTGGAACTCCGTCACAGTACAACATGCAAAGTATTTGGCAAAATATATAAAAGAAACCAATCTCAATCTATCTATCTATCTATATGTATGCATCATTCATATGCTACATATAAAAAAATGTAACTAGTCTGGGTTGGGAAGACATTGTCCCTGTTGAAAATCAGTACTACCCAGTTGTGAGCTTTATTTCTTCCTCACTGGAGTAACTAGTACTGGGGGCTGACAGAGTCAAGACATGATATGAGGCACTACTAAAAATCTATTTTTTCAAGACAAAGCAGGCAAAAATGAAGCTATTTTTCTGTATACGTTATGCACCCAAAACCTTGATTAAAATGCGATTTTGAACTTATATTTACCTTCATGGAAATTACTAATGTGAAGAATTTACTTGTAGACCACCTAATTAATACAGTTGGGAGGCAAAAGATAACATAGAAAATACAGAAACAGTAGTTCAGGGAATAAATGTGGAATTTACTATGTCTTCAGAAAAATAGTGTGTGTTTTCGATGCCTTTAGTGTACTGACTTTAAGATTCAACAGAGAAAGCATATGCTAGAACTTACTCCGATCAAATTAAATACATATACAGAAACGCACAATGCAAAAAATCCCTTTCTCTTATTCTCTTCGAAAGAAAAGATATTTTCTTTACTTTTTTAATCCAGCAAGAAACCTCAGCAACAGAATGGTGAGTAGCTGGGTTGTGAGAATGTGAGCAGCTGCTGTTATTATAACTAAAGGTCTGTCTACGGCTTGAGCCTGAGAGACCACATGTTCGGCTGTCCTCTCATCTTGCCATCCTCACCAATTAACTATTAACATGGAGGGCTGTACACATGCTCTCAGGGGCTCTTTAACAGGCTGCTTGGAGAGTGGAACAACTACACAGCAGGGCTCTGGGAACTGAGTAATGTGGGGTATAAGGAACCCTCAGCAGCTCTGCTCCTCCTAATGACAGTATTCTCCATAGTTTAGTGCTTAAAGGAAGATACATGAAGTTTAACAATTTAAAAAAAAAAGAAAGCTCTCATTTGTTTAAGGCTGCTAAGCAAAGATTCTGGAAATAATGTTTCTTTTTTTATTATTCAGAATATCCTAGCACTTACTGTAAAACAATTCTGTTAAAATTTAAAAAATCAGTTATTTAGAAAATGAGAAAATTTCAATCCTAACTCCACGGGAATTGCTTTATATGGAATTTATAAACACAAAACCAAAATCAACTTCCCAGGTAAGTTTGCAACAAACAAACAACTTTGTCCTTCAGTTTGTTTCTTAGAGACGCTTCTGGACTTCTCCTCTAAAATATGATCATACCTTTTATTGACATCACATATAAAAAAGAGTACAGTGAACCTGATAGTGTGTCCCAATTCTGGACAGGTAATTGCCATGTGTAAAAAGGATGCTAGTTTTATATTCACGAATGCTAGTCGTTGCATTAAATTTTACTGTTAATCTTTCTGAAGGCAAACTGCCACCTAATATTTAAAAATAGCTAAGCAAGGAGATGGAGATTTGCACTGCAAGAGGAATATTCATACACTTTTGATTGCAGTGGTAAAACTAGAAAATCAAGTTTCTTTATTTTCGAAGCAGTAAGTGCATCAGGTATCTAGACAAATAACTTTTGCAGGTATTCAAACATCTTTACAAAATGCAATACACAAGTGACAGTCATGTACTTACCTAAGATAGGATTTAATCTAACGATAAACTCATCTACTATGAAAACATTTTGCATAATATGAGGTTTTATCCAGTACTTTTTTACTATAATCAAATCAAATTAGTATCTAAAATTATAGGTTCTCTGTTCATTGTGAATAATAATTTTGCTTTTCTAAGTTACATTACCGCTTGCAGAAAAAAAGACTATCTACATTTTTCCTTTCGCTGAAAAAGTTTATTTCCAGAAGATACGTTTAAGTCTCCATATACTCTCAGGAAAGCTGTTGTTAGTAGCTTCTGATTTTGCAGCTGGGACAATTACTCTGATACCATAACTGGTTTGCTCCTGGTCCCAGTGCAAGGGGATATTAGAATTAAAGAGTAAACCTGTATCTTTCAATTCCTGGCTTTAAAAACAAGATCACACATCATCATAACGAGCATGACAGATGAAGACAGTGGACTGAAATGTCTTGTATTGAAACCTAAACAGCGTTCTGAAGGCAGTGGGAAAGTGCTTAGGGATGTTGTAAAAAACAAAAATTTGAAAAAGAGATTACTAGCAGGATTCTCTTTGCTTTTTTACAGTTTCTGAAATGTTGATAGTTTTTCAAAAAAGTCTAAGACCCACGTAAGGCATAACTGTATCTAAGATGGTTTTATGCTTAGGTCTTTGTAGATTTTGCAGCATGACTGTCCCACAAAAGGATAGAAACACTACAGCGAAGTTATGTTTTAACCATGCCCTTTGAACAAAAAGAGTCTTCAAACTGTCCAAAATTGCCTTTATTTTCCTACCATAAACTTTAAATTTTTGCTAACTGATGTGTCAGCTATGAAATATAGCGAAACCAGCATTCCTACCTGGATAAGGTGAGCGGGCACTGTGATGATGCAGGCTGACAAAGATTTTCTGAGGAGGCCACGGAGAACATACAGAAATTTTGTAAGGCTGTGAATATCTTCAGGAGTATCGCTGCTACAAATGTCATCACCCCACAACAGCGAACCCAGACTCTGAATTCCTATCCGCAAAATAGTCTTTTGTTTTTTCTATTAAAAAAAAAAAGTCACTTATTATTTTTTAAACATTAAGAGGAAAATGTCATGTAATGTATTTAAAAAAATACAATTTATAGACTTCATATCTATAATAATTACACAGTTTACATCATAATAACTTAATCTTATAAAAATTACAAGCGGAATGGCATTTTTGCACTGACTGGGTATGATGCTATGTCAGATAAGCAAGTACAAGTGTAAGAGACAGGACGGAAATACCAAAAACTACTAATTTGCATTTTTTATCCAGCTAAATGTAAGTATATTCTGACACAAAATCCAAAAATACTACGATTTTTCATGTCCTTTCTCTCCTCCAACACTGCCTTAAAAAGCATGCAAAAGAATCTTTTCTCCCCACAATAAAGTGGTCTGCTGGAAGTGCCTGAGAGTAATCAAACACAACTTTTCCCTCTATTTCCAGCTTCCCACTGTGTTTCAGAACCTGACCATTCTGACTGTTTGCTTTAGTTTCACTTTTTCTGCTACTTCTAAATGAACAAAGGCTGTGGCCTGCCGCACCAACGCATGGCCCTTTCACTGTTTTACAAGTCTCTGTATCATCTACTTTCCTGTCAACTCCTTCCAACTGAGGAAGGAAGGTTTACCCACAGCTATGGAGAAACACAGTCTGATGGAGACATCAGTGGATTGTCTCTTAAGGACTACACCTTTCTGAAAGTCCTGGACATGAGTGTTTCTGGATCTGCTTTCGTTAGCTACTGGGTACCAGAATCTAAGCTGTTTTGACACGTAAAATCCTAAACAGCCTCGTGCGTTACCTACCTAAAGGCTGTTTGCTACCCTGCAGTACGCTGGCAGAAGAGCAACCAACAGAGGCAGTGGCTAAGATAAAGCCCCTTTTCTGAAGGGGCAGATTATGAAGCCAGAGTTGTAATTTGTTTATGCAAAGTAAAATGTCATCTCTCATGATGACAAATCTCATTTCTGTTTATTTGATGTGACCTTTCCTGGTGATCTTTGAGAAGGATTTTAGGTATATCTGCTATCAACAGCCGAGAGAGAGACAATAAGCACCCTTGTTGAAAGATTTCCTGTACAAGGTGATCAACGATAGATTTCTAGAGTTCAGGGTTCATACTTAAAAGCCAGCTTTTTTTAAAAATATATATAAATACTAGTTTAGATAAATAAAAGCTTCCAGGTACTTTTCAGGACAGCAAAGGGCTTTGATAAACTGTAGATATTCATTTCAACCAGCTGGAAGAAACAGTAACTATCAAGCACAAAACATTGCACAGCTGCTCTGGAAATCCAGAGGAAAGGTTTTGACAAGACAAGAGGCTACTCTTATAACTACTTCCTTCTCCATATTGGGTAGACAGAGCCTGAGTTGTGAAACACAGTTAGTACCACATTGCTCTGCATTTATCCAGCTCTCATTGCTTACACAGTGAGCTGATCTGCCAATTTGCTTACAATCTTTGTGAAAGCGATATATGTTTTAACACTGGTGGATTCTTTAGTCTTGGGCTTTGTAGGCTTTTATGCTTTACTTATGTAAAGTTAACTTTTTGCACTACCATATGAAGATCAGGATAATAGTGCAGGATAATACAACACAATCTGACTTCTCTGTATGATATTTCTTAGGCTTGGATGTTCCGACTTTTAAAAAAAAAAAAAGAAAAATAGAAGCGAGTCTAATGTTCTTTAGTGACTTCTAATCAGAGCAGATTCACGCATTTCTTCATGTGTGTTTAAGCAATAGTACAAAATCAGGCATTTAAGAAAGCTATTTTATCCAGATATAACGGATATTGACCATGCAGAGCAAACATACGTAGAACTTACAGAAACTTTTTTTAATGAGAAAAGTATCTTTTTCATATGAAGAACATCCATAAGAACAACATACAAACAGAGAAGAAATTGCATCAGAATATCAGTTCTCTTATTGGATAAAGGATGACAGATGCCTGTTTCACAATATTAAATCATAAGAGTTGTAAAACATACAGCTATTCAAACACCAGATAATATCAGATGTATTTATTTTGGCCAGTAACAGAATTTCTACCAGTACAATTCTGTCAGGCCCACAAGGCCCTGACAGCTATTCCATAACTGAAATATAAGAAAAGCATAAGTCTAATATTCTACAACAAGAAGCCTGCAGTAAAGAGTAGGATAAAATTTTTTTTAGATATACTACTCGATCTTTTATACTCGCATTAGTTTGGAAGCTTGGATTTTTTTTTTTTTTACCTTTTTCATGTAATTTTTGTAACAATGTTTGCTTTGGCAGCAAGAATTCTGATTATGAAGAATTAAAAAAACCCAACTCCAAGCAAACAAAAAAAACCCAATCCCCCCCCAACTTTATTACCCTGCAAGTTACCCAACTTGAGCTCCAAAGTATATAAAGAAATGTTAGGGAAATATAGTTGCCTATGAAAGTTCTATTGTCAAACATGAAAACCCCAAAATATTCTGAAACAAACAAGTGTTATTCTATGTGACTTAAAACCATTCTCAATTTATAAAGGATTCATACTTTATGATCAGCAGCAAAGAGTTACTAGGAGGTTTTAGAAAGGATGTAAAACCGATGCTCATATATCTCGGTTATAGGTCATTCAGACCCTGAATTTCCAAATAGATCTTGGCAAAGATGTTCCAGTCAGTGTGAACAAACAGGTAATTGCTTTGGTTAACTTCAACCAAACTTTTCTGTAGCCTAATACCTCAAAGAGGAATTATTGTCCTAAGGCCCACAAAGTCATACAGGACAGTCAAGAAATGTTAATCTATGATGGCCACCAGCAGATGGTCCCATAAAACTAATGTTAACTAATCATACTACGTCCTAGAGATGCCTGACCATTTTATTATAGGTCTACTAAACCCCTAACAGTAGTTTTCACTAATTTTCCTAATTGTGTCAAACCTCTGTCAGCTGGGGTGAGTCACATTCTGCTCACTTTTCTCCAGACCCTTCTTCAAATACTGGTAAAAAGCAGTAGTAAGTCTAAGTAACATTGGCATATTGATGTGAAAGTAGCCAAAAATATCTGAAAGATTTACCAGTCAAGTTAAACTTTTCCTTTGAATCCAGATCCAACAAGCAACACGTTTCTAGACTTCCACAGTCTAGAGATTTTGGAAGGATTATACTTCACAGTACAAAAGAAGCATTAATGGCATCAGCTTCTGTCATTCACAGACAGTGATCAATGGATCTACTTAAAGTCAGTAAGTAAATCTCTTGAAAGTTCAGTACCTCCCTGCTACATTTTGGCCCTTGCAGTTTTCTCCAAATTTCATGAAAGCCACTGCCAATAGGACCCACCCAAAGGGGAGAGGATTGTTTGGCAGGGAAGAGCATACATGCACAAACTTCTCAGAAGCTTGTATTACTATTATATACAGGAAAAGACACAAGTCCAGAAGAATACAGGCTGGTCCTTGCTCTACAGTCTTCATATCTGGCTACTTAAAAGTACTTCTGAAGGCTCAGTAGATAGAAGGGGATATGGAGCAGCAAAGCGGTGAATTTCTCAGATTTGTAAGATAAAATATCCAAGGTGTGTTCTGGGCCATAACTACATTCAACTCTGGACATATTTTTAAGAAGTATGTATTATATACTGCTTCTAAATGTACAAAAAAAGATGATGCATGGGGAAAAGAGGAATCTTAAAAGAAAGTAATAGAAACCACTCCAGGAGATCATATGCATTATCTCCCTTGAAACAGAAACAACTACGCAAGTGCTAATGGCTTCCTAGATGGATAAACTGGCCTGAAAAAGGACTCTTTTTCTAACTTTCAAAGCTTCACCTCAGAAAGTTATATATGCCATTTAGCAAACATATACTTTTAAATTCATCTCGGTTAAAGTTCTGCTTTTGCTTTATTGACACTACTAAGGCATTTTGAAACAATGAACGAGTACAGAAAATAATTACCCATGATGTGTAATTTTTCTCTGCTTGCAAGCAAAAAAACTAAAAATACTGGCTCTGACCAACCTTCATTTTCTTTTACATGTAAAAAAAAAATTCAGGAATATACAAAGAAAAATAAGAAACACCAGCCTAATCTCTTCAGTAGGAGGTTGTTTGCTGGCTGAAGGTCGGCAGGGTGTTTGTTTCACTCAGTGCTGCTCTTTGCAGCCGGCAGGCTCTTGCGCTTCCACAGGACCTGTCCCCATGCGGGAGGAGCATCTCTGCGCACGGTGCTGTACAGCAGGATGACATGCCTGTTGCCATGGCTACCACAGCACGTGAGGAGAGGTGCCTGCCAGGGACCAATTTACTTCTCCAGACTGGCATTGCCACCAAAGGGAAGGCAAGCTCTCCCATATATCTCAGCAGAGACTAAACACTGAGCACAGATAACCTAAATTTACACACAAGTATTCTGTGTAGGTAACGTTTCCAAAACATACTGTTGAGACAGGAAAACATTCATTCCAACATTATCTTCCCCACAAATATGATTTCTAAGTTATTCAGCTGGTAATAGTACACAGTCTTGTATTATATTCTTTGAGGGTCTCCAGCATCTATACTAATTAACTTCTACTGTAATAACATTTCTACTGTACAACAATAAAGATAATTTATTTCCATCAACTCTAAAGGACTCACATATTACTGAATATGACAAAGAATAATAGATAGGGCACTGCTCAAATTAATAAAGGGCTTTCAGCCTCTGTTGTTACACTTAAAATGTATTATTTATGAAGAGTACAGAGATCTCTAGAAGTCTGGTAAGCTGTTTTGATTTGTAAGTTGAAATAGCACTCATTTCTTTATTTGTGTTTCAGTGCTTGCTACATAAAGATGCACACCATTTAATTCATTAAAAAATTCACTCCACTCCAGTTAAAACAACATTGAAAAAATCTGAAAGTTTAAGATTAAATGTTCAATCTGAAGAGTCTTGAACACATTATTGCTAAAGCAATAGTTTGAAAAAAAATACTGTAGGGGAAAATGTGTTTTGCTTAATTACATTACATTTGGCAACCCATTTATTAGCTAATTGCACAGAATATACATTTCACTAATGTTGGCTTACAGTTCTTTCTCGCATGGTCTGCATATCTGTAACAGGTAAAAACTCCAAATGCACATTAAAGTATGAACCACGCTCTCTATTTACTTTGCTTGTTTATTTCAGCAATGCTTTGAAACCGCTTGTTCCTTGATACTTTGTCCAAGACCTTCTTGTGCCACCCTTGAAAATTCAGAAAACAACATCAGTTACAGGATTATAGAAGAGCACGAGGGTCTGCAGTACCTGGGGATCAGAGCCATCAAACCCTTCCTGGTTAATGATCCTCTGAATGGACTGAAGCAGCCTTGCATAAGCACGGTTCATATTACTGTTGGTAAGAAGAAATAGTTTAGTAACACATTTTAATACTCTCCTATATGTCTCTAACAGCTGTATTAAAAATAGATATAAGCAGATGCAGCCTTCAGTCTGAAAGTGTCATACAGAAAAAGGTGTCACAGAAGAAAAAACATAAACCTCTGAATAAAGTTGACATTATAAGCAGTTGTGATTGCTTCATGTTAACTGGTTCAGTGCTCAGACATTTAATGAAAACTAAAATCTCTAGGGATTAAGATAAATTAATTATGTCAGGCTCACTTACATCTAGCAGATTAATGATTTAACGTATCAACTTAAAGTTGAAACCTTTACAGCACAGTACTGATCTCCTACAACTGATAAATATCTACCCAACTGTTATTCCAAGAATACCTAATCAATGCCCCGATGAACAGAGCTGACTTTCTGTTACTGAAAACTTTCATACATACAACTGCTATGACAATCAAAACCAACAAAAAATGGAAACAACATTTTCACACTAAAAAGGTCATGTAGTTAATTTGTTTTATTTCTTTTAGTATTTGTTTTGGATACTGCACCAGAGCATAAGATACATTCTGCTACACTACGCTTCTATTTTGTATCCATACACTACAGGTGTTATTACTGCTTTATTTGCATGACAGCAGAACTGTGAGGTAGAATTTATTTTATGTATTATTTAGAAAATATAACATAAAATTAAAAAAAAACAAAAGGCAAACTGGTGGCTAAAAATGGATTTAAGCAGACTTCAAACCAAATGAAAGTTCAGCAAATCATCTCATCACAGTCTTAAAAGGTCCAGTTCCTGCATGTCAAAAGCACTTCTTCAGATACCCATCCCAGCCATGCTCTCCAGTCCACAGGCTAACACATACAAAGGACAGAAAGTCCTAATCTTTACTTTAAAAAAGCAAGCCAATTGTTAACCTTTAAAAAAGACATACTGTTTTCTTAAATCCCATAGAGCATACTGCCTTGTCTGTCTGGACTTGTAGGTTCCTCACTGCAGATGAGAGTTTAAGCCCTTCTATTTTTTAGCTTCGGCATTTCCTTCTAGTGTCACTAATTAGCATCAAGGGTTGTGGATTCAAACCACCTTGTCTACTTCTTGGGAAACATGACAGGTTATTTTGAAAATATTGCCTCTAAAAATATTCTTACTTGCTCCAATCATTTTATATGTGTGGTTTGATAACAGCCCAGGTTGAAAGGGACCCAAAAATCTTATCCAAATGTATTTTACTAATGAATACCTAAATAAACCCAAATAAACTTGCTTTCAAACTTTTGAACAGGAGAGAAGACAACTTTTCTGAGAAGCACTTAAGGGTTGCAAACATGTCTTTTACACCATTGCTTTAACTCAGAATTCTACATTTCCTTCAAGAAAACAGTATTAACCCAAACCCAACCCCCCAATGATATATTTAAGTTATAAAAATCTACAAACAAAAAAGTCACAGTCATAATAATTTTGAGTTTTAAAATAATGTCAGAAAACATTAAGATATGACCTTTCTCAGATATAAATAAAAGGGGGAGCTTCCAAATTAAACTCTGTTTATTTGTTTTCAGATTCAGTACCCTAGAAGGCTACTGGCTAAACTGATGTACCTTAATAATTTAATAGTGTCTATGAAATTCACAGCTGAAAACAACTGGTAATATATAATCTCAACATGACATTTACCATGTAAAGTCTGCCTTGCTATACCAAAAAAGAGTGTCTCAAACAGGAAAGAAAGAGTAAATTCTCACTTCTGAAGTCAATTACTTTCCTAGTGTTTAGTTGCAAAAGGAAATAGCTGCTAAATGTTATACCTGTACTGTCAGTTTACAGAGTAGGTGGAGGGGAAGAGGGCTTTAGCCTCCATGCTAGCCAGAATGTCCTCTCTCCGTCTTCACATTATTGCAGCACACACACAATCCTTGCTGCTTACACAGTGCTGCGATTTCTTCCCAGTTTTGCCAGAGCTGGGGAGAATCTGCAGCACTTGACAATAACCAGAAGCATTTGTGTATCCTTTTGGATATTCCTTTATCCTTTTGGGAAAGACAGAAACTGCTACTATCTTGTAGCCATAGCCAGGAACACAGTGTGTGTAATACGAAAAGACAACTGTGGTCTTTGTCACCACAAACTAGCATTTTCAAGTTTGTGTATCTATTGCTTATTTTGCTTATAAGTATTACCATGCTATCTATAGGGATGCCAGACAATATACTGCCATCACAATACTTGCCAATTCCTGATTTGTTACTAACTTACTTTTAAAAGTTAGTGGATAAAAGAATAAAATACCTAAAGCATTAGCAGAATTAAAGGGTGCCAAAATGAAAACAAAGAAATAAAAGAGATCTTCAATTAATCCATCACAAAAAGATTTGCAGCAAAGAAAGAATTAAAGAATTAAAGAAAAAAAAAATCTATAGGCATTACAGTATTAAAATGTAAAAATAGGTGATCTTCTACTTTTTGCTAAAATATTAATGGTTTACTTGAATTTGAACCATGCTATGTAAATAAGGACATGAAAAATATCGTGGAAACACAATTTATAAAACCAAGCTGCATTACCATTCTGGCAACGTTTGTCATAATATTTAAGGAAGGAAATAAGATGTTCCTTATTTTCTAATTTCTAGTCTTTTTTTTTTGCTTTGTTACTAAACACCATTTAATTCTGATAATGAGTTTAAACAATTCCTTCTTTACTCTTTTTTTGTTTAGCAATTTAGTAATGGATAAAGCAGGAGCCGGCAATAAGGTATCCCGGTTACAACAGAGCCTCTGACTTTTCTGTTGATAGTTTCTAAGCAGTTAACAAAGGTTAGGTTATCAAGGGTATGACAAATAGCCTTATTATGTATAAGGAGACCCCATTAGGCAAGACAGTTAAACCTGTTTTATCTAAATTTATCAGTAAATCTAGACTCTAGATAAATTTATTCTTTTTCAAAAGCACACACATTCTTAAGGTAAAACTTACGAGCATTATTGGAAAACTACAGCTTAATCATTTTAGTTCCCTTGATTATCAAACTTGATTATCTTTTGGTAACTGCAACTGAACAATGAGGATAGAAGTAGAGGGGTAGCAAGTAAGCCTTTTCTGTGATGCACACGGTTATCACAGACAATATTTCTGCCTTCCTCTTAAGTACCAGCTTTAGCAATGCAACAAAAGGACACCAGAATACCCTGGCAACAACAACCGGAAAACAGTTGCTGTCAGCCGCACAACTCCATTAACACGGTCCTAGCATGAGGGCCAGGCCATAACTGCCCTTCCCTAACATAAAAAATAGTGAGATGAGAAAGAGAAGATTTATGCCTTCTTTTGGCATGAAACACCCGGTCCCATTTACTACTTTCTGCAGGAGGACAGACTTCCCAATCTGTTTTCAATTAATGTTTATCATGGGGCAATGAACGTCTACCCATCTTGAGTGATGTCGTGGTTTAGCCCCAGCCAGCAGCTCAGCACCACGCAGCCGCTCGCTCACTCCCCCTGCCCCGGTGGGATGGGGGGGAGAATCGGAGGAGTAAGAGTGAGAAACACTCCTGGGTTGAGATAGGAACAGTTTAATAATTGAAATAAAGTAAAATAGTAGTAGTAATAATAACAATAATAGTAATAATAATATACAAAGCAAGTGATGCACAATGCAATTGCTCACCACCTGCTGACCGATACCCAGCCAGTT